ATACTAAACGTTTTCCAATATCATAACTATTTTACAATTGGGCAAACTGCGGTTGTGATTGGGTCAAGGGGCTAGTTGGAGTTGCGGTCCTTGACACCACATCAGCATTCCTTCGTGCGCAACAATGCATCGCTATAAGCAACAGTACACGACAAGAATTGGCAACAAGCTTCTGATGTTTGCTATTGTAAGTAGCGGCACTTGCTGCAGTAAGCGTCCCTGTTGTGAAATAAGTTCATTTCTATTTTTTGCTTGAGTTGTTCTTAAAATTTATTTTTGCTTGTGTTGGGTGATTTGATGAATTGGATTTGAATATAGGGTTTTGGTTGTTGTTGGTGGTGGTGGAGTGGTGGTGCCGGTGGTGGTGGTAGCAGGGTTAGAGATGGGTGGGTTGGTTGGAATGGGATGGGATGGGATGGAGGTAAAGAGTGTTTATGACCAATTATTTGGTGATTTTGGTCGATAAAATATATAATTTGAGACCAATAAATAATATGTGACCTAAAATATTGTGAGATTGAGATTAAATTTGTAATTACGATTCACAATTTGTTAAGTTATGACCAAATTTGTGATTTAAAAATAATTCGTGACCAATTAATTTATAACTTATGACTGTGAAATAAGTTGTGACTTATAAGATATGTGATTTGTAAAATAGGTGATTTGTGACCAAAAAATAATACGTGAATTTAATAATTTGTGATCGCAAAATAAGTCGTGACCTATAAAATTCTTGATTTGTGGCTAAGAAATAATATCGTTTATTAATTTGATAATTTATAATTGATAAATAAATTGTAACATATAAAATTTGTGACTTGTGATTGTGATCTTAATTATATAGTATTGCGGCTTCAATATATTTAATTAATAGAATATTTTTAATTATCAATATATTTAATAAATTTTAATAATGATCTGATTTTTGAAATTTTAAAAGAACTTTCTTAGTTTTGAAATTGTATCTCTTAACTACTTTAAATATGTAATCTTCCCTTATACAGTGGACTTGTGACAGGAGTAGTCTTTCTTGGTTGAAGAGTAATACAACTTTAATCATAGAGTCAAAGTAGGATTAATGAGATTTGGAGGGACAGACCATGGGTGACGCCTATGACCAACCTAGTGTGATGTCGGGGTCCCCTCCCATATGACCTTGTTCGAGATCATGCCTTGAGCTAATCCGTAGGTCGATCACGAGGTACCTCAAGCTAAAGAGGTTGGGCCTATGAATATATTGTGGGAAACTTGCGGGGTGACCTCGAGGACAAGTTCTTGATAAATGGTTGTTGTTGACACGTGATAATTAAATATGGATAGTTAGGCCTTGATTTATATTAAGGAAAAATCCACTTGTACAATCA